ATGAGGATAGCAATTTCTTCCTCATATATGCACATCTATGTCTCTATGCTTGATCATATGTTAATTATCTATAGAGACAAACTGGTAACTGATTGCCTCTGAGACGGGAGACTTACTTTCCACTGTATAACTTCTAACGCTCATGGTAGAATTTGTGCAAATGGATGAAGCACTGCTTCATTGAAAGCAAAGACAGGGACAAAAACGGTGATTAGATGTCAGAAAAGAGCCCAAAGAATAATTACTTAGGTCTGTTATGATGAGCGTGCTTTTAAAGAGTTGTAGTGGAGGATGATATTGGCTAAGTCCAAGTGCCTAGACGCCTAGGTAGAGTTCTTAGAATTTTGTACGTACACTAGGAAATTCTGAAAACGTTTGAGCTGGGGAGATGAGATTCTTATCAAAGGTGGCTTTCAGGGAAGGTTGGTGCTATGGGCGGAGTATTTATTTTATAATCAAGCCAGTGGCTCCCCTCCGAAACAGGCACAAAGGTTAAGTCCCCTTCAAGGGACAGGAAGCTCCTTGGGGTGGTGGGACAAGGAAGGCAAAGAGGCTGAACCCTTGTGGTGGTGTCTAGGTCCCAGGTTCACTAGTGTCCGAGAGGAGAGCAGGTTGCTCTAGAGGCCATTCTGGAGGGTGCTGCCTGTTCTGGGGTGGCAGTGGGGTCCAGTTTGGTCCCTATTCCCAGGCTTTATCCCTCCCTACTCACAAAACCCCTTTTCCCAGGAGTCCGTGTTGGTCGTGCAGTTCCAGCTTCTCCTCCGCGGCCTTTCCACGCTGGTCACTCACCTGCTAATAGCCAATCAGCACCTAGGGGTTGGGCTACTCGGCCAAAGGAGAAGAGGAGGCTCCTCTCTGCGCACCAATGAATGTGCATGGAGGGGCGGGCCTGCAGGTGCGAATGGGCGAATCACGGACCCCGATGGCTCGCGGTTCCGAAAGCAGTTAGTCGCGCGCTCGCATCTCCAAGATGGCTGCGGCTAAGGACGGTTGTGGCATAGGAGAAGTGGCTGCAGGGAATGGGCGGCGGCTCCACCTGGGGATTCCTGAAGCTGTGTTTGTGGTAAGAGGCAAGCTGTTCCTGGGCATTTTGGCCCGAGGCCGTGGGACTGCTCCATCCTTCCTCTCACCCAGGCATGGACTGCTGAGGAAAGAAGCTGAGCTAAAGGTTCAGGGAAGGGACGCTCGGCCTGCTCTCCCTCTCCGCACCTGGACAGACTAAGCTCTGCTGGGGCCCTCCTGGAAGAAACGCGGCCCAAGAAGGCCCTAGAAGAGAAGGGGGCCTAGGGCGGTAGGACTGGGGAGCAGGACTGGGGCGAGGGGCTGAGGGGTGGGTTGGCCTGAAGGACCGCCCTGTTGCCACGGGATTTCGTCCCCTGCTGCCTGGCAAAGGCGAGGTGGTGAGGATTCAGCCTAGATCCTGGAAAGAGAGATAGGTGGACCCGTAGAATACGATGAATAGGCAGAACAGCTAGTACTAAGGTATGAAAATAGGGAATGACACCTCGTCTGTTGAAGGAATGCAGTGGTCTGTTGCCTCGCGGGATATGGAAGAAGAGACCTTGGGAAAGTAGGGTGATAGGGTGAGAGTGTGAAGTCCTTGTATGTATTGCTAAGGAATTGGGGCTTTATTCAGTAGGCAGTGGGCTGCCATTAGAAAGTGTCTAAGTAAAACCAAGATGTAATCATATTTCGTTTTAGGTACATCATTCTAACAACTTAGTGGAGAATGAATTGTGTGGAGTTGAGAGAGAAAGCAGGGGATGCAATTTGGAGGTGTTACAGAACAGGGAGACCAACCCAGGTCTAAACAAAGAAGCATGTAGAAGCTATCAACCCTATCCTTCCATCAAGCTTTTCTAGAAATAGTATTTGAAAACTATTTGAATAATGAGAGAAAAACCTCTGACTGGCCTTTCAGGCCGGCATCATCTGTCTTCTCGTTAAGTTGTACTGAGCTACTGTAAAATCTTAATGAAATTTTCTTTTGGTTTGCACCTTGCCTTACTACCTCTGCCTTTTTACTAACCATGTCTTACATCCTTTAAAAGACCCATTTCTTTTATTATATCACACTTTATATTGTATACTTGCATTTGCTGATTGAATTTTGTAATTGTTTTCTTTATTTTGTATTTTTTTCCTGAGCTGTGCCATTTATTTCTTTACATTTATCTATTAACTAATAATAAGAAATAAAATTTGTTGAGTGTCAGGCACTTTCTTAATGATTTTACAGAACTTTAGGTAGTAGTTACTATCATCTTCATTTTTGTAGATGATGAAACTGAGGCACAGAGCCCTTGAGTAACTTGCCCCACGTGCACAGGATGTGAGTGAGGTATCCAGGATTTGAACTTGGGCAGTCTGTGGAGCTCCAGTGCCTCTACTTACCCTGCATACTCTGCTACTGGGAGGAGAGTGAGGTAGTTTTCTTGCTTAGTGCCACGTCTGCTGGTCCTAGCACAGTGCCTAACACATAGTGTAAGCTCATGTCTAATTAAATTTCCATAGTACCTTGAATGCTACATTCATAGTGCTCAGCTAGAAATGGTTTCAGAAATCTTCAGGAGGATAAACTTTATTTGAAGTACTTATAAAGTCTTATCTTAAAATACATGTTTCTCTTCAACTTTATGGGTTATTTTTTCTATACCTTAAAATTTCTACCAACATGATGTGATAAGCAGCATAAATTTTGCATTGTTATTTTTGTTTCCAAACTAATGAGAGTGACACGGTATTGTAGAAAGAACATTGTCTTCTACATAAACCAGGCTTTGCATTCTGCCTCTGCTTCCCAATTGCTGCTTAGTCTTGAGCATATTAGTTTACCACTTTGAGCCTCAATTTCTTTAACTGAAATAAGGATGACAATAGAGAGTCATTATGGGAAACAGAGAACATACTTTCAGTATTGCAGATGTTGTTAATGTTGAATAGGTGTTAGTTTCTGTGATGATAGGCGGTGTAGCATAGTGGTTAGAAGTCAAACTTGGCCCTTTTCCCAAACCCCACTGATGCACTAATTTGTTTTATTTCTCTGCTTGAATTGTCCCTTTCATCCTTGTCCATTTGATGACCTCCTCATGTTTCAACATCTAGTTCAGATATTACCTACCTGTAGTTTTCCCTGACCTCTACCCCAAAATGAAATCCTTGGCACTTTGTGTCCCTACAGCACATTCTGTTATAGCTAATATTTGTTGAGCACTTACTAAGTGTCGCATACTCTTCTAAGCATTTTACACATGCTAACTCATTTATCACTGGTGAGGAAAAGGTACCTTTATTTCATCGTACAGATGAGGAAATTGAAGCAAAGAGAGGTTAAATAACTTCCCTAAGGTCAAAGAGAGGTTAAATATCTAGTAGGTAGTGAAGCCAGGATTCAAGCCAACCACCCCGTTTGTTAATCACATCTTATGCTGCTGTAGTTAATTCTCCTTGCTAGAGTCTGGCTCCTAATATGTACTAGAAACTTTGCCTTCTTCCTCTTTCCTGAAGTGACCCTTCTAGGAAGATGGTATCACCATTTTATACACAGAACTCAGCCATTGACTCTCAGCCTCACCTTTCCAGTTTCATTGACTGTGTCTCTAACTTGATGACTTCTTAGTTCACTCCTTTGCTGTGTTTGTTTTCCTTTTCCTTCCTGCCTTGTTTCAGCTAAAATATTTTATGATAGCTAATAAACATGAATAAGAATAATGATGTAGAGATCCCAGAAGCTATAAAATAACTGAAGGTACTTATAATGGAGAACTAAAGGTCCCTAAACTATTAGAAGGCTCTTGAAGAATATCCTTTAAGTTTCCATATATTTTCATCTAGTTCCTGATCATTAGCTAATGAATAATTAACTAGCTTTTCTTCAAGGACCAACATGTGGTATACATATAAAAAATTTTAATGTCAGTTTTACTGAAATTCTGTTTGCCTTTTAGATTACTTTATTTCAACTACTAGATACCAAAAGAAGCATTTGTGGCTTGCCTTGGGAACCTAATCACCATGTTTAGGATGATTTCTATTGCAGAACTTGTTGAATTAAAAACAAATAATAAGGCCAGATATGGATCATGCTTGGAATCCCAGCACATTGGGAGGCTGAGGCAGGGGGATCACTTTGAGGCCAGGAGTTCAAGACCAGCCTGGGCAACATAAGTGAGACCCTTCTCTACAAAAAATAAAAAAACAATTTAGCTAGACATGGTGGCATGCACCTATAGTCCCAGCTAATCAGGAGGCTGTGGCAGGAGGATCATTTGAGCCCAGGAGTTCGAGGCTGCAGTGAGCTACAGTCCCGCCATTGCACTCTAGCCTGGGTGATAGAGTGAGACCCTGTCTCTAAAATATGTGTGTGTGTGTGTATATATATACACACCCATATAAATAAGTAATAAAATTGGTAATTTTGGCACACAACCTGTAGAATGATTTTATGACTAGGGTACATGAATAGGCAATGTGTATGATTATTGGTAATTTTCATAGGGCTGCATGAGAAATACATAAAGCAGGCAAGGTCATTCTTTCCCTATTTATAAATAAAAATTAAAGAGGAAAGTAAAAGATGAATAAATTAGCTATATAATATATGTACATGGTCAGAAATCGTCTCTGACTTTTTATAACTACAAGTAGATCATTGCAAATCTAAAAATCTGAAATGCTCCAAAATCTTAAACTTTTTGAGTGCTGATATGATGCTCAAAGGAAATGCTCATTGGAGCATTTTGGATTTCGGATTTTCACATTAGGGATGCTCAACAGGTATAATGCAAATATTACAAAATCTAAAAAATCTGAAATCTAAAGCACTTCTGGGCCCAAGAATTTTGAATAAGGAATACTTAACCTCTACTTTTAGTTAAAAACAAGCCTTTGGAGAAAAGAAAGAAAATAATTTTTCTTTAATGTTTTAAGAACAAAGCAATCAAAATAAGATTAGTGGCATGAATTCTAAAATTTGTAATGTATTATTTTTGATATTAAAGGAAGATGTAGACTCTTTCATGAAACAGCCTGGGAATGAGACTGCAGATATAGTACTAAAGAAGCTGGATGAACAGTACCAGAAGTATAAGTTTATGGAACTCAACCTTGCTCAAAAGAAAAGGAGGTAAGTGTAAAATTTCCTAAGTTATTAAAATCTTACATGGCTTTAAGTTTTAAAAAATTGAGATATAATTTACATACAATAAAATGAACAGATGTCAATGTTCATTTTAATGAATTTTGACAAATATATCCATCTAATTCTGTAAGCATTGCCCAGATCAATATATAGAATGTTTCCATTACTGTGGAAAGTTCCTTCATGTTCCTTTCCAACCCCCAACCCTGCACAACCACTGTTCTGATTTTTTTCACTATAAATTATTTTTGTCTGTTCTTGAACTCCATGTAAATGGAAGCATATAGTAACTACTGTTTTGTGTGATTTCTTACATTTAGTATGCTTTGAGAATCATCCATGGTGTTGTGTGTTAGTTCCTTTTTAGTGCTGAGTCGTGTTTTGTTATGTGTGGATGTACCAGGGTTTTTATCTATTTGTCTTTTGATAGATATTTGGGTTGTTTCTCTTTTTTGGCTTTAAGTCTTTGTGTGGACATATGTTTTCATTTCTCCTGGGTAAATATCTAGGCATGGAACTGCTGAGTTTTATGGTACATGTATATTCAATTTTATAGAAACTGCCAAAAATCCTCCAAGGTGGCTGTACCATGTTACATGCCCACTAGCAATATACAAAGTTCCATTTGTTCCACATCCTTGTCAATACTTGATATTGTCAGTCTAAAGATGGTTTGGAAAACATAATAGAATGAATATTGAAGACCTTATTTCCAAGCATCTGGGATCATAACATCTTGGATGTCTAGGTTTACCCTTCTGATTTTGCCATTGAGAAGAGAGAGACAGAGAGATTATGACTTTCCCACGATTTTATACCTAAGAGCCATAGGACAAAGATATCCTTGTTTGCAATTTCCCTATATTATTTTATATAGCTTATAACATCAATTCACTGTAATAATTTAATTTAATTTTTAATTTTTATTTTTTAGAGACAGGATCTCATTCTGTCCCCAAGGCTAAAAACGCAATGGCATGATCATAGCTCACTGCAGCCTTAAACTCCTGGGCTCAAGCTATCCTCTTGACTCACTCTCCCAAATAGCCAGGACTGCAGGTGTGTAGCAGCCATGCCTGGCTAATTTTTTATGATTTTTTCTATTTTCAGTAGAGACTGAGTCTTGCTCAGGTGTCCACAGACTATGGCCCACAGGCCCACATGTGGGTGTTTTTGCCCATTTGTTTTTTTACTTCAAAATAAGATATGTGCAATGTGCATAGGAATTTGTTCATAGTTTTTTAAAACTATAGTCCGGCCCTTCAGTGGTCTGAGGGACAGTGAACTGGCCCCCTGTTTAAAAAGTTTGAGGACCCCTGGTCTTGCTCTTGCTCAGGCTGGTCTTGAGTTCCTGCCCTCAAGTAGTCCTCCTGCCTCGGCCTCTCTGAGTGCTAGGATTACAGGTGTCAGCCACCACGCCTGGCCAAATTTTTAAATTTTTAGTAGAGATGAGGTTTCACTATGTTACCCAGGTTGGTCTCGAACTCCTAGCCTCAAGCAGTCCTCCTGCCTCAGTCTCCCAAAGTGCTGAAATTATAGGTGTGAGCCACTGTACCCAGCTTGTAATAAATATTTATAGATATCTGCTTTGTGCATGTGCAAGCATTCTTCTGTCAGTTAAATATTTATGGGATGCCAGCTAGGTGCTAGATACTGTTTTGGATGAAATAAGATCCAGTATCTGTTTTCAATAAGAATGTGGTCTGGGAGAGATGATAGGTATGTAAATAAAATAAGCACACAAAGTAGAGCAGTAGAGGTGCTTTGGTACAAAGTAATGAGTTAGCACAGGTTAAGGCATGATCTAGCATGGGGTAGGGAGGTGCAGGGGAAACTTCCAAGAGAAACAGATGGCTGTGTAGAATTTCAAAGATTGATTATGAGTTTGAAGCCAGACTAAAGCAAGAAGGGGTAGTCTGAGCATAAGGCACTACTTATGCAAAGATACAAAAGTTTGTTTTTAGATATATTTTCTCATTTCAACCTATTTATTATTTATATTTAAGGGTGTTCTATATAAACAAATATGGTTGTTTTTAAATCTAGCTTTTTTAGATAAACCAACTTTTCTTTTTGGATATTTTTAAAATCATTCTCTCTTTTGTTACTACTTCACTATAATTTGTCTATGTGTGGATATCTTCTTTGTTGATGTGTGTCAGCTTCTTATAAGTATATATGCCTGTCTAGTTTGCCTTTATCCATAGAGGATTTTACTCTTGCCAGGAGCTATGAGTAGATACTAGTCTTAGACCACTTGAGCTAAGTTTCAAGTTCCTACACTTCATCTGTCTTACTCACAGCTCAGTGAGTGAAGTGTAAGATGCCCAGGCTCCGGTCTGCAGCTGGTATGGACACCTGCCCTCAGCGACACCCCTACCTTTTGCTAGTCCTCACTGTTCAACTCAAGGCCTTTTCTAATTTTTTCCTTTTTAATCTTCTGGAATTTCCCTCACCCCTGTGATATTAGCTATATAACAAAACTTTTTCTACATGATCTAGTTGTTTTGCAGCAGATGGCTCTATGTAGTGTCAATGGTAACCTTTTTCTTTATATATGTTGTAAATCTTTTCTTTTTTTTTTATTTCGGCATATTATGGGGGTACAGATTTTAAGGTTTCAATAAATGCCCTTCCCCCCTCCCCCACAAGTCTGAGTCTCCAGCATGACCATCCTCACGATGGTGTGCATATCACTCGTTATGTATGTATATACCCGCCCCCCCCCTCCCCAATACACTATTACTTAGTACCTATGTGTCCAGTTAGGTGCTACTCATTTAATACCAGTTTTGCTGCGAGAATATATCTGGTGCTTGTTTTCCATTCTTGGGATACTTCACTTAGTATATGGGTTCCAGCTCTAACAGAAAATATAAGATGTGCTATATCACATGTTCTTAGAGCTGAATAGTACTCCATGTATACATATACCACATTTTATTATCCATTTTGGATTGATGGGCACTTGGGCTGTTTCCACAGCCTTGCAATTATGAATTGTGCTGCTATAAACATTCGAGTGCAGGTGTCTTTTTTGTAGAGTGTCATTGGATCATTTGGGTAGATGCCAGCAATGGATTGCTGGATCAAATGGTAGATTCACTAGTATCGCTTTAAGGTATCTCCATATTGCTTTCCACAGAGGTTGAACTAGTTTGCAGTCCCACCAGCAGTGTAGGAGTGTTCCTCTCTCTCCACATCAACGCCAGCATTTGTTATTTGGAGACTTTTTGATAAAGGCCATTCTCACTGGAGTTAAGTGATATCTCATTGTAGTTTTGAATTGCATTTCCCTGATGATTAGGGATGGTGAGCATTTATGTTTGTTGGCCATTCTTCTGTCTTCTTTAGAAAAGTTTCTGTTCAGGTCTTTACCACTTTTTAATAGTGTTATTTGATTTTTTCTTGCTGATTTTGTGACTTCTAAGTTATTCTAGTTATCAGCCCTTTATCGATACGTAGGATGCAAAAATATTTCTCCCATTCTGTAGGTTGTCTGTTTACTTTCATGACTGTTTTTGGCTGTGCAGAAGCTCTGTAGTTTCATCATGTCCCATTTATTATTTTTGTGCTGCTTTGATTGCCTTTGGAATTTTCTCATAACTCTTTGCCTAGGCGATGTCTAGGAGAGTGTTTCCAACATTTTCTAGAATCTATGGTTTCATACTGAGATTTAAGTCTGTTATCCAGCGTGAGTTGATTTTTGTGAGAGGTGAAAGGTGTGGGTCCTGTTTTAACCTTCTACAAGTGGCTATCCAGTTTTCCCAGCACATTTATTGAAAAGGATTCTTTTCCCCAGCGTATGTTTTTCTGCTTTGTCAAAGATTAGATGGCTTATGAGGATGGTTTTATATCAGGATTCTCACATCTGTTCCACTGGTCATAATCCTTTTGTGCCATACCAGATTGTTAATTACAACAGCTTTGTAGTATAGTTTGATATCTGGCATATTAATACCTCCAATTTGTTTTTGTAGCTAGGATGCTCTTGATATTCGGGGTCTTCTTTGGTTCCATACAAAGCGTAATTATTTTTTTCTATATCTGTGAAGAATGTTGATGGGATTTTAATAGGTATTGCATTGAATCTGTAGATCAGTTTGGTAGTATAACTTTTAATGATGTTGGTCTGCCGATCCACGAGCATGGAATGGATTTCCATCTGTTTACGTCCTCTGCTATTTCCTTCCTCAGTGTTTCATAGTTTTCCCTGTAGAGGTCTTTTACCTCCTTCATTAAGTATATTCCTAGGTACTTTAATTTCTTTGTTGCTATTATGAAGGGAATTCAGTCTTTAATTTGGTTCTCGATTTGATTGTTGTTGGCGTATACGAAAGGTTCTTATTTCTGTGTATTGATTTGTATCCTGGAGCTTTGCTAAATTCATTTATCAGTTCCAGGAGATTCCTGGTTGAATCTTTGGGGTTTTCTAAATATAATATCATATCATCAGCAAAACAGTGAAAGTTTGATCTCTTCTGCCGTATTTGATACCTTTAATTCCACTTTCCTGTCTGATTGCTGTAGCCAGGACTTCCAGTACTATGTTGAATAGAAGTGGAGATAGTGGGCAGCCTTGTCTGGTTCCGGTTCTAAGTGAGAATGCTTTCAGTTTTTCCCCATTCAGTATGATATTGGCTATAGGTCTGTCATAAATGGCTTGTATCATTTTTAGGTATGTCCCTTCTATGCATATTTTCTTAAGTGTTCGTATCATGAAAGGGTGTTGAATTTTGTCAAAAGCTTTTTCTGCATCTATTGAGAGAATCATGTGTCTTTGTTTTGCTTCTGTTATGTGGTGATTGCATTTATAAGTTTGCGTATGTTGAACCATCCCTGGCATTCCTGGGATGAAGCCCACTTGGTCATGATGATTATTTTTTTGATAAGCATCTGGATTCGGTTAGCTAAGATTTTGTTGGAAATTTTGCATGTTATTTCATTAGGGATATTGGTCTGTAGTTTTCTTTTTTTGTTGGATT